AAAAAAAAAAAAAAAAAAAAAGAATAGCAGGATTAGTCAAGTTCTTTTGCATTAATTGAGTTCCTTAAAACAGTAATGATTTTCCAAATGTGAAACTATAAACAACACATAGGGACTAAGGTACAATTTCACAAACAGTAAATTGTTTTCCATGTGAAATTCATTCTATCTTTAGGAAAAGCTCAGTGAAAGTACTTGTTAATTTCGGGGATTTTGAAGGTACCTATTGTTTTTCTAAACTGAAAGAATCATTCATGGTGCATTTTTATTTTCTGGGAAGTTTGAGTGCAAGGGGGTTGCTAAGTGTGGACAACAACCTCTGATCGAATATGGGGTGCGCCATTGTGTGTTCTGGGATGTGGTCTATCAGGTAATGTAGAAAACAGGAAGGGCTCAAACCTGCTGGATTGGTTCAGTGAACCCAGAGCAGTAATATTTGGTTCTTTCTCCCTGGCTTATTATTCCTGTTTCATCAGTAGATAAAATGATAGAGGAGATGGGATGAGCTCCAGAACTGGCTGAGAGTTTAGGGTATGCATTCTAAATCTCGACCTGAAAAAGAATGACATCAGCTCTTGATTCATGTTTCTTTTCCTTGGCTTTTCTTTAACTTTTGATAGAGTTGGGTTTAGGGAAGCAACTGGCAAACAACATAGCAAAGAATTCTGGGGGGAGTCCTGAGTCCTGGGACTGGACATGAACTTTGTCACTAAAAATGGGCCTCTTGGAAGCTGTTTGCTTTCCTAATAGCCAGATTGGACAAAGTCATCTATAATCTGGCTTTCAGGCTTACAGCTAAATATTTGAAATATTGGCATATTCTAATGTTTACTCTTCCGTTCTTGAAATATATTTGCAATAGGAATATCTGCCTTCATGTGTAATAGAAGGGCACTGGATTGACTGTTTGATACTGGTGAAAACCTTGAATCCCCTTAGAGATAAAAATAGCAGGATCAATGAAGTTCTTTTGCATAAATTAAGTTCCTTAAAACAGTAATAATTTTCCAAATGTGAAACTATAAACAACACAGTGGCACTAAGGTACAATTTCACAGACAGTAAATTGCATTCCATGTGAAATTCAATCTATCTTTAGGAAAAGCTCAGTGAAAAGTACTTTTTAATTTCAGGGATTTTGAAGGTGCCTATTGTTTTTCTAAACTGATGGAAATCATCCGTGGTGTTTTTTTTTTTTTTTTCTGGGAGTTTGAGCACAAAGGGGTTGCTAAGTGTGGACAACAACCTCTGATTGAATATGGGGTCAGTGTGCAGGGGTGCGCCATTGTGTTGCTTCAATAGAGCATGGGTTAAGCTCGGTCCCTGTTAGCTGAAACTGTGGTCCTTCCTTGGGATTCCTTCGTAGTAATCTTATGCTTTGTGATGAGAGTTAAAGTCAATGCCTGGGGAACCTCGGGGGACAAATCCTTTGTGATTTTCAGAAGGAGAAATGCTGTCTGGGGTTCAAGGGAACCAAAGCCATTCTAGTGGGATAGGTCTCTGTGCCCTGAGTCTTTAGCCAGTGTTGGGGAGACTGCCCAGCTGCCTGGAACCACAGCCAGTGGGTAATTGTTCAGGGCTCATTGGTCCCTGAGTGTTGATGGTCTCTGGAAATGCTCTTGGATGCAGTACCTTTTCAAACTCTGTCCCTCCAGATATGTACCAGAGGTTTTCCTCCTGTCCCATGGAATCAAGATGGCCAGGGTTAAAGTTTCCTGCCTCACAGCATCTTTAGTGATCTCCATGTGACACACCAGGCCTTTGCTGACCTGTAAGTGTTGGGGTGCCACATGGTGTTTCCTCAGGGATAGCTGTGGCAGGGTGACTCTGGTGTGTCTGAACCGTGAGCTGTGGTGTAGACCCCTGTGGCTGAGGTGTCACGGACCTGGAGCCCTGGGGTGTTACATGAAATGCAGAAGCCTGCCCTGAATGTCAGGGGCAAAGCAGCTCTGTTCTTGTGCAGCCTCATCCAGCTGCCCAGGCTCCCAGGGGTCCTAGGGGACAGATGGGTCACATGGCTGTGCAGAGGAGCAAGTGAAGTGACACTCATATCTCCAGATCCCAGACTCAGACTGAGCAATAGTGACTGCTGAGTTTCTCTGTCCTCGACGGAAGTCAAGGTAGCTAAGGTACACAGTGGTCGCTTCATTCACAACCACAATGGCACTGCCTATTCCTTGCTCTGGGAACACACAGGGTGCCCAAGGCACTAGTTCTGCTGTGTGCAGGTGCCCTGCTGCTCCAGGTCACAGCTGTTCTGTGCTCTTCTTTGAAGAACACTACCTAGCAAGGGTTATATGGCTGGATTTGTAGGTTATGCTTGATCATTTTGCGTAAACCTTATAATGTTTGTGGTGAATATTTTTTTTTTTTTGAGACAGTCTTGCTATATAGTGCAGACTGGCCTTCAACTCAGTATGTAGCCCAGGCTGGCCTCGAACTTGTGGTGATTCTCCTGCTTCAGTCTCATGAGTGCTTGGATAACAGGAATGTGACATCATAGTGGACTGAATATATTTTTGAGGTTGGACAGAATACTGAATTATTTTTTAAAAAGTGAACAACTTCTTAATTTTTTTAAATTAATACAATCTTAAAGAAGGAAAAAGCAAATGTGGGTCATGCTGATTAAATCTTAGACAACACATGGTGTGGGCTGATCCTCCTAGAAGTGATGGAAAGGTCCTGGTATTGTCCACATAAGACTGCTCTGAAGCCTCACCTCACCTAACACTGTGGTTGATGGGCACAAGCTTGGAGGCCATGGTGGCTGTCCAGAGACAAATGGCCAGGGTTCACAGGTGAGGAGGCTCACCAGAGAGTCAGGTGTACCGAGTCCTAGACATTTGTCAGCCCAGGACCCCAAGGGGCCCAGAAGTGATGATCCTTCCTCCCGATGCAGATAGGGTGGGCTGCAGTTGGGACCTGAGAAGGAGGGTACCTGTAGCTAGAGGGTGCAAAAACAAAGCCAGGACACCCCTGTGGCTATGCCTTGCCCCGCTGGGAGAGCCAGGCAAGGCTGCAGCATCGGTCTCAGCTTTAAGCCCTCGCTAGGGGAGGCAGCCCCTTCAGGAGACTTGGGTGCACTGACAGTCCACTGTGGGGGTCCTGGGAGAATTGTCAGGAGACTTGCATGTGACATCTGCCATTGAAAAACTATGACATTAGGTGGGAAAACCAGGAGACACAGAGGAACAAAAGTAAAGAAAATCAATCACAACCCACCCTAGGGCTCAGACTCTGGTACCACTCACCAGTTGTTTTTCTTACAGAATATACACAGAATTCCTTCTCCTTTAAACACTATGTGAGATTCCCTTGTGCATGTTACCTTTAATTCTTCTTATTCTATCTAAAGAAACCACCAGCAGAGTACTTCCAAAAAACTATTTTGATAACTGAAATATTCTATTTTATCAACATGTATTAGAAACTCACTGTTCAGAATACATGTTGCTTTTAAATTCCCAATCATAAACGATGTGGCTCTGACAATTTGAAAATATTTTAAGTTGTTTCCCTAAGATAAGATTCCAAAAAGCAGAGTTTTGGCTCAGAGGGAGCTCACAATTAAAAGGCCAGCATTTTTGTGCCAAGTGGATGCCAGTCACTTCCTCCCTGTCCTGGTTCTGTCCAGTGGTGGATGATGAAAAGTGTGTTGTGGACTGGCTCTACATTTCTTTGACTGAGGTTGAATGAAGCTCCTTGCATAGCATTGGCTACTTGTGTTTACTTTTAGGAACTAAAATGTCATGTTGCTTGCTTCTATGACATTGGTGCCTTCGCCTTAATTTGTGCATCCTGGTACATCTGCCTGATATCAAACTTGCCACATTGTCAGGGATGAGGGAAGCATAGAAGCAAGCTTTTTTGGGACCAGTCTCTCTCTGCAGCCCAAATGTATGTGAAGATGTGAGTGGAGACAGGCCAGATAGACCCAGAAACAGAGATAAAACAGCTCAAAGACAATGAGTAACCAGACGCTGGTGACACAGTTCATCCTGCAGGGCTTCTCAGAGCACCCAGAGTACCAGGTACTCCTATTTGGCTGTTTCCTCTCCCTCTACACTGTGGCGCTCACTGGCAACATCCTCATCATCTTGGCCATCACCCTCAACCCTGGGCTCCACACCCCCATGTACTTTTTCCTGTTCAACCTGGCTACTATGGGTATTATCTGCACCTCGTCCATCATGCCCAAGGCCCTGCAGGGTCTGGTGTCACAGCAGAGCACCATCTCCTATGGGGGCTGCATGGCCCAGCTCTACTTCCTCACGTGGGCTGCATCCTCAGAGCTGCTGCTCCTCACAGTCATGGCCTATGACCGCTATGCCGCCATCTGCCACCCCTTGCATTATGGCACCATGATGAGCAAGGCCTTCTGCAGCCTGCTGGCCGCTGGTGTGTGGATGCTCTGTGCCTTCAACACGGCCATACACACAGGGCTGATGCTACGCTTGGACTTCTGTGGCCCCAATGTCATCACACACTTCTTCTGTGAGGTCCCCCCTCTGCTGCTGCTCTCCTGCAGCTCCACCTATGTGAACAGCATCATGATCGTCCTTGCGGATGCCTTCTACGGCATCCTCAACTTCCTGATG